GGGGAAAGCAAAGGAGGACATGGTTGTGGAGGATGAAGGGGAGGGGCAAAGAGGGAGGAGGAGGAGGAGGAGGAGGAGGAGGAGGAGGAGGAGGATTTACAAGTTCAGCTTGCAGAGCCTTGACATGAGGGAAACCAGGATGCCAGAAGAGCTGCGTGTTGGCGACTAGAATCAACCTGCTGCTGTCGATCCTCCTGGAGGAGGGGAAGAAAGAGAGGAAGGAAGAGATCCGGCGCAGGACAAGAGAAAAGGAAACGAGGGGAGAGATCGAGTGATACAAGGGATTGAGAGAGAGAAAGAAAAGAGAGGAGAAGAGGAGAAGAGGAGAAGAGAAGAAGAGGAGAAGAGGAGTAGAGAAGAAGAGGAGTAGAGAAGAAGAGGAGTAGAGAAGAAGAGAAGAAGGGAAGAACAAGTAGTAGCAGAAGAAATATTGGTAAGCGAAGAGCAGGATGAGGGAGGGAGGGAGGGAGGGAGGGAGGGAGGGAGCAGAGAGGTCAGACTCCGTTGTAGCTGTATGCTATTTGTCTGTTCTCTCACCTGATGAGCATCAGTTGGACTGCATTCTGCAATGAGAGGAGCTTGTCCCTGAGCTTCCCGCTGGGCTTGTCAGGCTGAGAGAAGGAGAAAGAAGGTCACGTACAACCAGGACGACATGAAGGACATAGAAGGCATGGAGGATGTGAAGGACGTCAGCAACGCAGGCAAGAATTATTGCCATGTTCAATGAAGTGAAGCAGTCGAATACAACGGCAAACATACAAGGAAAGTAACGAGAGGAGGAGAGAGGAGAGAGGAGAGAGGAGAGGAGAGGAGAGGAGAGGAGAGGAGAGGAGAGTGGAGGACCTGCATGATTTCGGAGAGGGCGACACTTTGGAAGGAGACGACTTGAAACGATTTCCTGGTGAGTGACGTTCAGACCTTGGAAGCGAAAGGCTGGGGCAACAAACTTGAGAACGAAAGTGCAGAGTCCGATGTCGTCGAGCGCGACCCCCATGTCAGCTGCGATGTGCTGCGCGAGCTGTAAGAGAAGGAAGCGGCAAGTTCGCCTGCTCGCACCTCAACAGTCTGCCCCTTCTCCCTCATGCTCGCCAGACTTTGCGACATGGTGACGTGCATCCCCTCGTAGCTGAAACCCAACACGTCATGTTGGCCCCTCCCTTCCCGTCCTACTCTCTCCTACACATCCTCTCCTCTCGTTGCAGCGGCCCCCCCCCTCTGTCCCTGTCATCTTCACTCCTCTCTACCCATCCTCTCCCCTCTCCCTGGCATCTCCTGTTCTCTCCTCTGCTCTGCTCTGCTCCTCTCCCCTCCTCTCACCCTTCCAGCGCAGGAACGAAATCTCTCTCGAACATCCTGGGGGTGACCTGTTTGACAAGGATGAGTCGAAGAGCGTCGGACTGTCATGCTGTCACTTCTTGGAGGCAGATGATGTCTGGGAGGTACGAGAAAAGTTCCTGTACAATCCTCTCAGCCCTTCCGTTGTCGCCCGACCAGATGCGGAGATCTATCGAGTGAAAGAAGTCAAATCGACAAGAATGAGAAGGGGAGAGGGAGGAAGGGAGGGAGAGAGGGAGGGAGGGAAGGGAAGAAAAGGGGAGGGAAGTGAAGTGAAGTGTGGGTATTCGAGGTATCAGGAGAAGGAGGACTCGAAAAATTTGGGAGCAGAACAGGATGAAGAGGTGGAAATACGACGAACAGTGCAGGAGCAGGGAAGGCCAGGAGAGAAACGAGCGGGAGCAAACACAGACGAAGGAGAAAATGAGGAGGAGGACGAAGGAAGAGGAGGAAGAGGAAGGGAGAGGAAGGTAGAGGAGCAAGAAGAAGGAGGGGAGGAGGAGTAGGGAGCAAGAAACGGGGAAAGAAAGGCACCTCTGGGACAGTAATCGTGCAGGGGGCGAAGGCCATGATATTCTCCGAGCACGTTGTAAGTCAAGACTCGCAGGTGCTGCCCGTTGCCGCTCGTGCTGTGCCAAGAAAGAGGGAGTGAGGAAGACAGAGAGGGAGAGGGAGAGGGAGAGGGAGAGGGAGAGGGAGAGGGAGAGGGAGAGGGAGAGGGAGAGGGAGAGGGAGAGGGAGAGGGAGAGGGAGAGGGAGAGGGAGAGGGAGAGGGAGAGGGAGAGGGAGAGGGAGAGGGAGAGGGAGAGGGAGAGGGAAAGTGCAGTAGAGTGAATGAGGCAGAGGGCAAGGGGCAAGGAGAAAGGAGAAAAGATCAAGCAACTTACCTCGTGCTATCATCTTGCTTCGAGCCATCCACACCCACAAACTTTCTTGATGACGGGGAGGAGGGAGAAACGGAACTATCCTCTCGGATTTCTACAGCTGGAGGTACAGCTGAAATTACAGCTGGAGCTGGAGGTACAGCTGAAATTACAGCTGGAGGTACAGCTGAAATTACAGCTGGAGGAGGAGAGGAGAGGACAGGTCTTGGATCTGAAGATGAGGGCTGTTCCGCTCCCTCCGCTCTCTTCCCTGCCTCCCTCAGGGTCACGTTGCCGGCTCTCTCAGCTGAAGGAGGAGCTCGCGTGCTCGGAGACTGAGGAGAATGCCTGCCTATGTTGCGGTGGAAGGGATAGGGGGTGCGGAGCCGAGGAGAAGGAGGTCGGGGAAAGAATTTAGTCCTCTCTGAGGAGGAGGAGGAGGGAGGACGGGGGGGCACGCGGATGGTGCTATTATGATGCGTGTGGGAGGGAGCAGAGGGCTTGAACGGCAGGGGCTTCTGCCCCTGCTCAAGATGATCCGCAGGCCGTGCCTTTGCTACCTGTACGTGGTTCAGGTGGGGTGAGAAGGAGGAGGGCAACTGGAGGGCAGCTTCACCAGCAGCAGCATGCAGAAGAGGAGGAATCGTCTCATTGCTTCCTGAGATACCACCTGATTGTACAAGACATCATACGACTCGATCGGTCAAGGAGACAAGCAAACCGCTCCTCGTCGCTTCCTGTAGATCCTTCGAGGTCCCCTCACTCGATATCTGATGTGACCATCTGGAGGCACAAATGTGAAGTCTTGCTGCTCCTCTCAGTTCACGATCACTCAGCGCTGAGCATGATGCTCTGTTCTCATCGTGTACTGCCCCGCTTCATCGCTCAATTGGTGGGGATTGAACCCGTCAGATTACGGCGCCCTCAGTAGAAGAATCAAGTCAAGTTCCTCTGGTAAAGAGAGGTGATTGCCGTTGGAAACTGTCTCTCTGATCTCCCTCTCTGCGATATCAGGAGTTAGATAGCAAAACAATCGAGGTTCTTCTCAATCATCAAGTGAGAAGGCTAATTTGAATGCATGGGAAGGAGGCGGGATAAAATGGGCCCGGGAAGGCGGAAGAAAGGATGTAGAAGTCTGCAGAGAGCAGGGGAGGCCAAGACACATAGAATATTGGAATCAGGAGGAGGGGAGAGGACAAGTTCAGAAGATATCTGTGAGTGAAAGATTTCGAGGGCTCCCTCCACCTCGTTGCCGCAGCTAGACTGAGAGGAGGAGCTGGGATCAACGTCATGCAGCGAGCATCGGCATCGGAGTCACTCTGAGAGTGCAACAAGGAGCTGAGACAAGGTAGAGATAGAGGAGGGTCACGTATGTTCAGAGTCGCTCTCAGCTCAGCATGGCAGTACATAGCTCCCCCAAGATCCCCTTCACACTGGGACGGGGCGGATAGAGGACGAGGCACCGGTACCGATCACCTTCGGGAGGGGGTGGGGTTCACATCATCTTTGGGTGGGGTGATTACGACTACTGACCGGGGGTAGGAGTAGTCGAGGCTCCCAGAACGTCGACCCG